ACTTTCACATTTTGTTTTTTGGAGAAATCGAACAGCATTCAAAATACAAAGCGTGGGGCTTCTGAAATTTTATCGAAACTTTCAGAAGATTCAGCAAGTCAGAAAAAAGAGTGGATTCTGAGATCCACAGATTTTCGTCTCCATGCATTTTTTTGAATGTGCCGAAACGAGGCATCTGATTTTAGGTCAGTTATTGGCTGGTTGATCATTTGTCAAATTTAAAAAATATTGAAACTAGATGAAATAAATGATGTAGTCTCTGATGCTGTTCTTGTTTTGCATCTAGTTTTTATTCAGTAAATTCTCATTTAGTCATCAAGATGTTGAAAATTTTTGGTTCAAGGTTCAATTTTGCTGTTTGTTTTGCGTGACTTGACGTAAACTCATCTGTTACAAAAAACAGGTGAGATATCCGCATATGTCAGTACAGGAATAGCTGAGATATTGGGTTATTATAAGAAATAGGGCCCCAGTATTGACCCTTGAGGAACATCTTGCTCAGTAATAATATTCAGTTACAACTGCCTGAGTTCTATTCCAAAAATATTTCTTTATTATGACTATAGCTTTACCACTCACTCCATATCGTTCTATTTTCATCATTTTCGAAGTCAGTAACCAATCTACATATATGTACTTCACCATCAGGAGTATTTATCATGTGAACTGATTCCTTTTGGGCAANAGTTGTCCTTCTAGGTCATCGTCCATCCTGTTCTTTTCAGGAAGGTGGACAGGTCACTGGAAGACATCTCCTTTATATCGGCAGGTGTAGGCCAAGACTCGCCGAATACACACTCTCTTATTGACGATAACTCCGGACACTCGCATAAGACATGCCTGACAGTCTCATCTTCTTGTTCACACATCCTACACAGAGGTGTGTCCACTAGCCCCATATTATGGAGGTGTTTCCTAAGTTGACAGTGGCCAGTCAGAAATTCTACTGTTAAGTGTAGATTTTTCCTCTTCTTCGGCGCCAGCTTCCCAGGGTCGCCCAGGGTGATCCTGGCAAGAATACATCCTTTGATTCCATCCCATCTCTTTAGGGATTGTGCATGGGTGTGGCGTTTGGCTAGTTCCGCAATTTTCGAAGTCATCAGGCCATAGGTGCTACTGGGTCTTGAAATTCTTATTGCAGCCGCTTCCTTGGCTAAAGAGTCGGCAATGCGATTACCTTCACTCCTGTCGTGCCCTTTAATAATGTTATTATCTACCGAGGCTTTCGCTAAATCTTGGTGGCACTCTAGTACTAGCCCTGAGGTAACACGTTGTCTGTTCCAGGCTAATAGGGCTTGTCTGCTATCAGTGCAGATTGTTATATTTTCACTGGTTATTTTTTTTGTGGCGATTGAGATACCAGCCAGTTCTGTTTGGTTCACGCTGGTATTTTTTCCCATTCCCCACTTAATCCTTAGGCTTAGTAATCTGGAGTACACTCCACATCCTGAGCCTTTTGTCGTTTCAGTTATCTTAAGCCAGGTGAAATCATGTTGATAAGAGGAGAATCGTAAAAAAAGATGCCAGCTGATTTTTGATGTTCGCGTATATCTAGATACAGTAATAGTTGGACTGATTTCTCTATAGTTTTCATAAAGATTTGGATAATTCCATTTCTACATTCTTCAATCGAACATGTTGAAATTATTATGTAGCAAATTCTCATTTTAATTACGGTTGGTGAATAACAACGTAAAACTACATTCAGCAATTTTATTATTTGAACGTGTTATTCGACATCATAAATTCAAGATAAGGATATGCACAAAAGCAACCTTGAACGATTTTTTCTTGAGTGTGAAATCACTGACGATATACGTATCATCCGGCCTTCTGGGAAAACCATTTCAGATAAAACGGTGATGATATAATATTCTACTATCAATCCTTACTTTGTATTTGATGTATTTCATTTGTCCTATGCTTAAACCACGTTTAATCGAATGTATTTTACTTCATAATTAGAGAAAGAAAATTCGAGCTGATAGGTCATGGTCGAAGGGATCTGGTGGTACTACATGTTTCGTCTGCTACTGCGGCAGACATATTTTTGGTTGCTTCAACTGCAAGAACGAAGTATCAGCAACATATTCTTCTATCTTCTATCAAAAACTCCTAGCAATTATATTTTTTTTAATGGAACACCCCGTATATTAATACATTTTTGGAATTGCTCTAGTATTTTATTACTTTTTTGTTAATAATGTCCTATACCTATCTCTATCTGTTTTCGAGATAAAAAATAAATTGTGCTAAATATGATCCAAAACATAACCTAAATTGAAATTAAGTACATCAGTACTCTCAATTCATGAAAAGTTGATATTTTGATGATAGTTTGGACAAACTCGAAATATTCAAATAACACCAAGAAATCGACTCCATATCATACAGGGCGTGCTAAAATTACTATTATTTCCATTGTGCATAAAAGTAGTCGAAAGTTCATTTTTTCAAATGAAACCCCCTGTATATTACTCGNGCGTGAAGAGGATACAGCTAAACGTAGTTTTAAGGCCAGTTCCCTACATAACTTATACTGAAGGTTTGAACTCCACACTCCTACCGATGCTTTGGATAGAAGAGGTAAAAAATATTTAATTTCTTTATGAATGAATTGGTAATTATGCATCAATGATCATAGGTGACTATTAGGTCTGTAACTGCTGTTATTTAACATTCTAAACGTTAGGAATTAGTTATTCTGTCTAAAAATATAACAATTTGAAAACAGTGTTCCAAGCTTTTGAAAAGCGGCTTTTGCAATTCCAGCGTCATGATTGTGCCAAAACATATCGGTGTCCATTCTAATCCCCAACAAACTTATCAAAGCAGAAGGTGGAATTGTCTGACGTGATATTATTATACCCGGTTGGGAGACATTTATCTTTTTGGAGAAATCCGATGCCTGGGAAATAGCAAATGAATTTATTAGCTATTTTACTAACATAGGTAAAATACTGGCTGAAAAAATTATAGATAAAAAACAACTACTCCGCTGCTCAAAAAAATTCTTATGTAATTCATTTTTCCTAGAAGAAACTACTCAGTCTGAGGTCTTGAAAACAATACATGAATTAAAAAATAAGAAATCTTCAGGAATCGATGGTATTCGATCAAAAACTTTAAAACTAATAGCGCGTGAATTTGCTGAACCCCTTACTTACATCAACAACCTCACATTTTCTGCAGGAGAATGCCCTTCTGTATTTAAGACAGCGGTAATAAATCCTGTATTTAAAAAAGGTGACAGATCTGACGTGTCAAACTATAGACCAATTTCCCTTATCTCAAACTTGGCAAAAATCTTTGAAAAAATTTTGAAAAAACGTATTATTAACTTCTTGAATAAAAACGACATTATATCAGATCGCCAGTATGGATTCAGAGAGAAGAGATCAACAGAAGATGCTATAAACTATCTGCTGAGTAAAATTAGCCAATATGTCGATAAAAAGAAACCTAGTTTATGTGTCTTTGTGGACCTAGCAAAGGCTTTCGACACGGTAAGCCATAAACAACTACTGGAAGTATTGGAAGNTCATTATTATTATTTCAGTTGTAGGAATCTCATTGCTTTAGTAACAGTCGTATATTGGTTTTTCAATGATTTTATTAGATGAACATCTAAAGGTTTTAGTAATCCCATATCACATCGCGTCTTGTGTTCATAAGGTTTATTTTTGACTATTCCACATACAGTTAAGAGAGGAATTTCGGTCAGATCTGATGTTGCTTGTAATGGTTTGTTTCCCTCGAAATCGAACTTGAGATGTAGATTCTTATACATTGAAACATACTCTTTGTGTTTCAATATTAAAATGCATCCGAATCTTATTCACTTGTATCTCTTTTTAGCATTGTTCACCATCGCTATTGGAATTACTCACAGGAAAAAGTCTGCGTTGCTATCACACTCGTTATTACTATTAGTACTTGTCCAAGGACGCCACATTTTAAACAGATAACAAAAATTTTAAGTAATTATAACTGCACCAATATCGAATTTCAACACTCAAATAGCGAAGAGTTCCTGAACTGAACATTGACAACACGCTGAGTATAAACATCCTCGCATTATATTCGTCAACGTAACATGACTTCAAATTTAATTTTATGACTCTTCAGCCAATCATAAAACTCGGTTAGTAAAATTTATCCAATACGAACCGCCAATGCTTCAGTCCACGTGGACTAGTTGGCAGCAGATTTATTTCTCTGTATTGGTTTTTTGGCCTATGAGAGAGCCGACACCTTTAACTATGCACAATACAGGTTATTTCGACTATACTCGAAACTTTATAAATAGGATGAATAGTTTCAGATTTTTTCTTCATTCATTCTCATCATTTAATTTCGTTTTATTGTTTGCATATAATTGACAAACACTCAATATTAAGCCCTTTCAATGATTCATTTTCATTTCAAGTCACTTGTGTATAAAAACGACCCTTTCCCAATATTGCTTAACTCAATCACGTTCACTGTATACCGAATTCAAAATAAATGTAAATCCTGAGAATAACTGAACCACGTATTCAGGTTACTATTTTGTTATTTCCATTGGTACGACTGCAATATTGGTTCCGCAAACATGAAAAATGTATGTGAAAGATAACCTACATAACTTGTCGTGCCTGATTTGTTTGAAAATTATTACCATAACCTTCTATGCTAATGCGATTGCTCGAGAGATAGTAGGTAAATAGAGATATTATCGAATTCATTTTTACTTTGAGATTACGCACAGGTACTCCATACTCTATCATTAAGTAGTAATGTCTAAACTTTTCTTTTGTGTAACTCTGCAGTTCGATGGATATTTGAGGGTTACCTTAGATGTTAGATGGCATCAGGAATGTGGAAATGTGGCATGCTGATATGCTTAAAATTCAGTGATCATTACCTAGAATTAATGGCAGCTTAAAAATTGAGAGGACAATTAGTGAATACAGTGAGTACTTGAAAATCGCGTAAACCTTCAATCGTTAAGGTTTATTTTGGATGAATTTCTCCGAATGGGTTAAGTTGGCAACAATGTACAGATACTCTTCATTCAACCTTTGGTAATTAAATACCAGGAGAAACGATTGTTTACAATTAGTTTGGCAAATTCATTTTGGTGGTGCGTCCGTCAGTGAAGTTATCGAATCGGAGGATGACCTGAATCGGCTGTGATTCTCCAAAAAACATCGATGCCTTGAGCGAGATGAATGAAGAAAATTGACGTGTGACATACTATCAGACAGCAGTTACTTTTGGTATACATTGAGCTTGTCGCCTACTTGTCCGGCACAGCACAGCACAGCACTGCGATGTCCCTCGCCTGATGGGGACGGGTAGTAACATCGCCCACTTGTCGAGCTACAACCAGCATACTGAAGGTACTTTTTGTTTAATTTCAAGGGAATTTCACTTTACATCGAGCGGTGACAGAAACATGTCTTATCACTAGCAGTTCTGACGAAGAAGTCTTCATTATAGGTAGTGGCCGCATTATTGAATGTTAAAGATAATAGTCACAAAAAAGAATGTTGTGGGTCTATCCCATTAATCAAAAGAGGGCAAATCTGAGAGAGTTTCATCATCTTTTCAACGATCTGAAAGAAGACGAGGAGCCTAAAATTTCAATATGTGCGGCTTCCGTAAGAACATATCGGTGACTCACATTTTGGCCTGCATTCCTTTCATTAAAAACCCAGGCTGTCCTACGAGCACACCTATCTTCAGCACCATGAATAAAAATAATTTCAGTTCTTTCTTGTAAAGTGTACACCATTACGATTTGTATTACTGTCGGTACAACTGACACCACTTGACAAACATTTTAAAATCAGAAATAACTAATTCTGATAAATGTTTTCACCATTTAATTGTAACTGACGCCAAAAAGCAACTGTGTGCCCTTATCTCATTTTCAGCTAAAGCAAAAAACTCTGTGTAAAAAAAGAGACATAAACATACCGTTATTGAGTCAGTGGTAGCGTTCGTTTCCATAAATGTTTGCATTTTGTTATAATTCATTTTTTTTTGCCCTATTTTACAAGAACGGATCAACCAATTTCAGTTTTTTAAACGGGGTTGAGGATTTTTAATCTTTAAAATGATGTGTTACAAGATAGGGGGTGCCATTTAAAATTATTAAGTGGGGGTAGCTAGGGGTAAGGGGGTTAATCCTAAAATACCACTGACCACTGGCACTGATTTAACACAGTCCTTAGAACGCCAAGTTGATGAAGAAGACAACCCGCTCTTGGATGAACAAAATTTACATTTTCAACAGGACGGCGCACCGCCACACTATGCATTGCATGTCCAACAGTGGCTCGATCAACGGTATCCTGACAAATGGATTGGCAAAAGAGGTGCTCTGAAATGGCCGGCGAGATCTCCGGATTTGACGCCATTGGATTCCTTTCTCTGGGGTTATTTGAAGACAATGGTATACAAAACTCCCCCGCAGGACATTCAAGGTCTAAGACACAGAATTACTGATACATGCAGACAAATTAATAACAAAACATTTACAAAAGTCCGACAGGAATTGGGAGAATAGATTATACTTTTGCTTAGCTACCAATCGTGAACATTTTGAACACCTAATAAAGTAAGGTACATTTATTTAATTGCAATAGCTATTATTTTATTTTTTATTATAAATAATTTTATTTTTGCTCTATTTTACGAGAATGGATTTCAGTATTCTAAACGGGGTTGAGTGAGTATTTTTAGATCTTTAAAATGATGTGTTACAAGATAGGGGGTGCCATTTATTGGTAGTGGGGGTAGCTAGGGGTAAGGGGGTTAAACCTAAAATACCACTGGCACTGGTTTTAAACTTCCCCGTCGATATCTAAATTGACGTGTTTTTTGCCTACGGCAAATTCTCCCTGCGAAACGAAGTATTAGGGGTGTGGGAAATTTTGAAATGAAGGCACTGTATACAACATTCAATGTGAATCCAGAGCTCAGACAAATTTTCCTGATGCAACATCGGCTATACTACAATTCTCTAATAGTAGGCACTAAATTCTCCGAAATATTATTGCATTTTAACGAAAACATTGTTGTGATTTTATATATTTTATAATTATTTTTTCTCATCTGTTTAGCATAATTTCCGTACGCCACTGCAAGAGACAGATTAAGGCAAAAACGTCAGTCATTTCTGAGAATTCAGTGCTTTCTATTTTGGATTTTTTTGGGGACGAAACACAAGCACTACAGGAAAATCCTGAAGGCGCTCTCATAGCGATGCCTGTGCGAAAGTAGCGATTCACATTGGATGATTTGAACCGCTGGAGATCAAAACTATTTGGAAAAACGCTATCAGGAAGTTTATTACACACAAACGCAGTTCTCCAGATAAAAGAGTTCTTAAACAGTGAAGTTCGAGGTGTATCGAGTTGATCCTCAAAACGCTGAGCAGCCACAGTCCGTCGCGTATAATTCAAACAAATTTTGGAGAAAGTCGATATGGGATTATTATTATATATTCCATTACAAAATTTAAATATCAATTGAAAAAAATCTAATTAGTGGAATTTCATAGTTTGCTTTTTTTCCCTACCTATTACAATTGAATTCGTTTTCAACATGTACTTTTTCAAGATATGTTATGAGTTTATTGTGAAATATCTTATTTCTGTTATTTTATTATACTTTGCAGTTAGTTATAGTCCCTAATTATAAACATTTATTGTTTCTTGGGACAATAAACTAAATTGAATTGAATCCTAATGACGAATAGTTTGTTCCTAAATGTTTTCTTTACTTTTGAATAAACTTTAAAGATAATCCTTGTATATTCAAAATTTTATGTATGAATATGTGGGATGATCCAATTTCTTATGGGGAATTTATGATAAACTCAATCACCATTACATAACTTCTCTTCATTAGAGATGCCATCAACGATGCTCACGCACCGTTAACTTCTATTAACGTGTGAAATTTGCAAATAAGGTAACATCGCATCTAAGAAATATATTTTTTTAAGAAGTTGAAAATAGCGAAAATAATACAGGCGTAACAAGCTAATTTGTTACTAAATACATTATAATGTGTTTGACACATCAAATGTAATCAACACCAAATTATTTTTCGATCAACTGGATCAAGTAGATATATTATGGAAAAATAATGAAAAAACATTTCCATTAAACACGTTAAATCCGACGCTAAAAAGTTCAATTCAACCAAATTTAATGATTTTTCTACCTTTCTTAGTCAATATGGCTGAAATTTTCCAAGAATATTTGTTACCAAATAATTTTCGATATTCTGTCAATGTCTTCATGAGGAAAAATACTTTTCGGTTCCACAGTTATTGAGTACCTACTACCTTTTATTTGACATTGCAATTTTGTTGAATACTTCTTCCCTCCGACTGTTCCACTCATACGTTCATAAGTCGGGAAGAGGAAGAAAATCACTAAATCTCACGCTGACGTTTGAACAGTCACAATTTTCAGATGCAAATCATTTTGGTATTCAACAAAATTTTCTCCGCTGTAATATTATTGAAAACTCTAAGATCGATTATGGTCTATAGGTACGAAGTAAATCCGAACACCTAAATAAAAGACTACTAATAAACAAATCCCTGTAGTTTATGAAAAATAAAGTTGATTTCGAAAAAAAATTATACCACACCGCCCATGCCATACAAAAAACTGCCGACGTTCGATAACTAATTATACATCAAATGTATGCCAAAAAAGGGTAGTGAATAGGTATTTAGCGATGTGTTTTTCGTGAACTCTGCTCAACTTCAGAAAAATTTCCTCAAACATTTGAATGGAAAACAGTTTTATATTTTCGAACAATTATGAGTCTGTTTTTAATCTTTCTCATTTTTACATAAGATTCAAAGGGTCACAGTGTGACTTTAGACAAGTTGATTTGTCATATAATTTCGCCAAACAACTTTGTTCATAAAACTGTAGATTTAGGTTCTACTTCCCCTCAACTTGAAAGTTGACTGTACAGTAAACGCCATATCCTTGAATATTTGGAAGGCTTCAACATCTTGGGTGATCATCAATATGGCTTTCGGAAACAAACATCAACAGGCGACCTTCTATCGAATGTCATCCATACGTTGGAATACCTAAAGCAATCGAGAAACATGGAAAGTCAAGAGCTGTTGCGTTTGATATTTCTAAGGCCTTTGACCATGTGTGGAGTGAGTTTGCTGGCCAAACTATATGTGTTGTCAGATCATTTTTGTGTATGGCTCTTCAACTTCCTGAAAGATCGTTCCCTGCAAATGGCCATCGATGGATATCTCTCAAATACTGTCACCATCAACGTTGGTATTTCCCAGGGATCTATATTGTCTCCAACCCTCTTTTTATTGTATATCAACGACTTATTGGAAAAAAACAAGAATCCAATAACTATATTGCTTTGGTGACTAAAGCACACTTGTCCCGCCATTCCATTTGGATTCCAAAACATCGGCTGCGGATGCACATCTTCACCGGCAGCAGGAGGTTGCATATCCTAATAAAATTGGGGTGAAAGTAAATAGGTTCAATTCAATGCCACGAAAACGCAGGCATCGGTTTTCTCCAAGAAGATAAATGTGTCAGAACCGGATATAATACTGCCAGGTCAGTCAATTCCACTTTCTGCTTTGATAAGTTTGTTGGGGGTTAAAATGGCCATCAATATGTCTTGGCAAATCATGTCGCTGGAATTGCAAAAGCCGATTCTAAAAAGCTTGGAGCTGTTCCGAACCAGAAAACTGAACCCACCTCATCTACTTTTGATGCTTTATAAAACTCAGATCAAACCTTCTTTGGATTATTGTTTTCATGTATGGAGCTCTGCCCCCAAACATACCCTAAAGTTGCTGGATTCCATCCAGAAAAGAGCCATTCGTCTGATTGGGAACACGAACATCACTTGTAACCTTGATAGTATCTGGAACATCGAAGAAAGGTTGGGGATTTGTCTCTCTTCTATAGATACTTTCAAGGAAAGTGTTCAAGTGACTTGGCACCAAGAGCGGTACTGTGGCTGCTCATCGTTTTTAGGTTCAACTCAGTACACCTCGAACTTCATTGTTCAAGAATTCTTTCATTTGGAGAGTTGCTCTCGAGTGGAATAAACTTTCTGAGAAGGTTTTTACAAATGTATTTAATCTACAGCGATTCAAATCCAATGTGAATCATTATCTACTATCACACAGACACCGCTCTAACAACGCCTCGAGGAGTTTCCTGTAGTGTTTATGCATTCAGTATAGACCGAATATACAAACTGAGTAATAGGTTGTTGAATCTTGTAATTCGTTAAACGCCAAAATTGAAGTTTTAACATGAAATAAACAAAAAACCCCACAAAAACCAAAGCACATTTTGGGGGAAACGCATAGAAGTCCGTAGATCAAAATTACACGAGTTATGACTCAAACAACGTTGGTATCTATTTTTCCGTCGAGAAAAATGTGAAAATCACTCCCTAATTTCCACTCCAGTTGAAAATGATTGTTACCGCTTTAAAATTAACTTTATTTATGTACTTGTAATATTCTCTAGAAAAGACCTACAACAAGCTATTACTTCGTTTGTATTGGGTCTGCAGACACCATGAGTCCTTTTTTTAAATTTTTTTATGAGCTACATTTTTACTAGGATAATTTATTCAGAATCAGTCAAATCTATCCACTTCTGACTGCATACTGCAGGATTTTCTGTAAATCCATATGTATATACTGTATTAGGTAAAATTGTATATTTTATTTGCTGATTTTTGAGAATATAATCAAAAATCCATTCAGCGAAATTAATTTCACTGTTCACTTGCTATAACTACGACATTATATTCAATAGATATGTGTGACTGATGACTTGTTTATTTTGTGGTAATTCATGATCACTTTAATGAAATGTTTAAAAACATTTCTGTCATATAAATAAAATTAACTAGTGGAAATTAGACAAAAGTGTTTTCATTCATTTCTTCAAAGTGTTACAAGTGTCATTAAGTTTGTTACAAAAAACACCAAAAAATGTATAGGACACTAATCTCCGGCCATTCGAAAGAGATTCGAAACCGACATAATAATAAATCAACGCCGCTGAAACTTCACATGCCTAATACATTCTTATGCTGAGAGTCCCCCATAAATATTGACAACTTTTCCATTCCACATTCCATCGGTATGCTTGACCGAACGTCGTTTAAATAAGTAGGTAGCGAAAATTTCAAAATTGAAGGTGCGACCTGTGCCAAGAGAACACCTAAGTCTCACAATCGAATCAGTACAAAACTGATAATGCTATCAAGGAGTTCGTGATTTGAATACAATAACATTAATCTAGGTAAAGATTTTATCAACTTACGTACTTATCTGCGTAATTAGCTCTTATCCGATTTTGATGGTGAGAATTCAAAACTAATTCCGAGTCGGCAAAAATAAACACAGTGTCTAAACCGTAACACTACATAAATAACACAACGATCGAAGCACAGGTAGTTTCGAAAGGTGATCACAAAACAGCCCGTCGCTGACAACAGGTGGAAAACAAACGACGCAAATCAGTGTGCCCCAGCCGACTTAGCCGAAGCGAATGAATACGCAGGTGTGGCGAGATACCAACCTGCCAGAGGGAATCTGTGAACTTACTACCTTGAATGACCGACTAGGACCGAAACCTGCTGCTTGAATCGCTTCTCCGTTCGACTGGTGGTATGGGGAGAAGATGCATTCCTCGGCTACCCCAGGGACGGATCGAGTGGTATTTTTTGTCGTCCCTTTTTTTGAATAACTCTTCTGAAACAGTTAGTGATACCACTAAGTAGGTAATAACCACTATTGAATTTTCAGTGGTATAATAATCAAAAAGTTCATCTACAATTTCAACGATTCAGATCTGAGGAAGCATTACAATGAATAAAAAAAAGCATACGCAAAAATGTTACATGAGGCCAAGTATTCATTTAATCACAGTTGTTTCGAAAATAAAAATCATCACGAAAAGCAAAAAAAAATGAAGCATGGTAAGAGATAAAACAGAAAAGGGCAAGGAAATAATAGATGATATAAGAGAGATCCTTGTACTTTGGAACACTTTTCTTCGAACCTTCATAATTTGAGCAAGAACTGACTTGAAGCATTGGTTTTTTTAATACCGTATAATAATAATATGATCATCAAAATATTCTAATGCTAGGAAAATACACACGATGATTTATTTATGAGAAAATAAAAAAAACTGATTGGGTTTTATGTCCCAAGGTACAAAGTGAGGCTTGTGCTTTGGGACACCGATATTTGTACCTTGTGACAAATATCTTCAGGGTTTTTATTGAAATTTAAAAAAACATAATACATTGTAATAAGCCGTGAAAATATGACCCATATATGCTTATTTGTCAGATAAAAAAGTGACAACTGAAAAATCAACTCTTAGAGAGCATAAGTAATAAAAAGACTAGTTTTTTAAATAGCATTTATATTTATAATCAATTTTTCTAATAAATTAGTAAGAATGAAGATTTCACATATACCTAATTTAGTTTAAGAACTCAACAGTTATGCTTTGGAACCACTAATTAACAATTAATTTACGAACTTAGGCAGATCCAGACAAGATAATAAAATATATCCTATTTTTTGGACTTTGGATCACATTTTTGACAATAATTATCAAAACTGGTACAATCTTCGTGCACCCAAAAGCAATAAGTAACACATTGAATCCAGTCTTTTTTACGTGAGGTAACAAAATTATTTTCTCCACATCCGACACAATTATTTTCCTCTTGATCAGCATCACATGAATCGTCGTCACTTTCTAAAATCACATTAGTGACTTCCTCTGAACTAGAATATTCAATTTTGTTCTTGAAAACTCTCTTTTTTACAGTCTTCATATTTTTTTGTAATGTATTTTTCCTTTTCTTTGCAGCCAACTGCTCCAATTACAGTTTTCAGGAGTATCGGTTAAGACTCTTGTTTTCTCACGTTTTCTTCAAAGCTACTGCATACTGCCATGCTAGTTTCAAGAATTGCTCGTTAGGTATGCCATAATGAAATTTGGATGCTGATGTTAAACAATACTCGACTTATTGCTTATTGCTCTTCATCATTGAAGACTCTCTTCACAGCATTATTGGGTTTATAAATGACAGTTGTAGTTTCGTTTTCTGTATTCAGCTTTACGACCTATTGAAGATTTTGAAACCTTAAACTCTTCGGCATCTTTTTGGATAGATCATCGTTTTTTAATCAATTTTTTAACGGCATTTTTAACATTTTCTGTAATTGGTTGGGGTCTAGTAACGTTATTTTTACTCCGATGCATCTAAAAAGAATAATTATAAGTAAACTAGAGTAGGCTATAGAAAATATCAAATGCTTGTACCTAGAGGCAGTCCCAAGGTAAAATAATATCACTGTCCCAAGGTATGAATTTCGTTTGTTTTGCAAAAAAGTGTGGTAGAATTTTTTCAATCGGAAATACAGTATTTAACTGGTAAATAAGTTATTACAAATGCAGTTGTCACTTAGTTATACTCATATCAGATTACTTACTTTAAAAATTTTCAGGAAACACAACAATTATCACGCATATAAAAAAAAACGCACGCGAAAAATTTGACAACGCACCGCAATGGCGTAACGAGTCAAAATGGCCGACTTTGTTGAGTGCAATCAAATTGTTGTTTTAAATGACCGCTAGGTGTTGCTTGAGGCAATTCTCGGGCTGAATTTTGTAATGATTACGAAGTTGTCCCGAGGTACATGGAGTCCGAAGGTATACAAGGATTTCCCTACTTTTGTCTGCGATAAAAGTATTATTGCAACAGTTTTGGCATCACATATTACTCTTAGGTGAAAAAACCATATATAAACATTTTGGAGCAACGTTTTTTGGTAGATAGCTATACAACGACACATGTAAGTCACACCTTCTATATTCCTTCCATGTACACTCAAGTGATATTTTTGATATCATTCATTTTCAAAAACTACTAATCCAGTTGGAGTTGATTGCATCTCCACTGAAATCTTGAAAAGTATTCATTAGCGAACCGTTTAATCGCTCCAATTAATCGCTCAATCGAACTCGATCAATTCCCTGATAAACTGAAAATTGATCTTCTTTCACAAATTTTGAAAGGAAGGTATCCCAATATAATGGAAAACTACAGACTCATAACAGTAGGTATCCACGGTATTATGCAATGTGTTTGAGAAATGTGTGTAGGTATTTATAAAATGTTTAATTTTTTGGACAAACTCAACATAGGTATTAACAAAGATTCAACACCTATTTTGGCCTGGTGAGTCGACTGAATGCGCTTTATACGAGTTTTTTGAATATTTTCATGATGCTCGTGATAAGAAAAAATACGTGGGTGCTCTTTTTTTCGACTTATCCAAGGTATTCGACATCATCAATCATGAAATAATCCTGAGTACTTTTATGGCTGGAGTCATACTTAACTCTTAGGAAGATGTGCGTGAAATTTGATTAACTATCAAATCACAATCATACGGTAACAACTATGGATTTCCCCAAAGATCCATCTTGGGACCTATGATGTTTCTGCTATGTACGCTTACTGCGTTACCGATAGCCCTGAGGAGCTTCAAGTTAAACTCTATGAGCTCTCTGTCGAATTTAGAGATTGGTATACAAAAACAGCATGTAAAATTTAGAATGAATATGAAAATATGGCATGCAACATGCTCAATCAAATAATTACAATATATGTATACCTCTACTGAGAAAGGAGGCAGAACTGGAAAGTATCATGAAAAGTAAATTCATCAACATCCAATATATGTAATGTGTGTGCGATAACTGTAATTCAATTCAGAAATATCTTCAATTTCAAAATTATGATCCATTTTTGAGTGTTTTCTGATAGGATTCAAGAAAGGGAACAGTGTTGATTTCCGAGGAAACTTCTCCCAAAAGAAGTACATTTTCATTTAAAATTCATAATAGTAATATTTTTGAGCGAATTTAGTAATTGACCCTTCCTATTTGATTGGAAAAAAGTTGATTCCAGGGGATTGAAAACACATAAACTTTAAGAATAATTAATGTATCTTCTCAAATAATATTCATTAGAAAGCATTATCTACAAATGGACTAAAACAGCTCTTTATTACTACTAACAGTTGTTAAGGTTGTGAATCTATTTATTATTTTTCCTGTTTAGTAAAATTTCCGTATGCCACTGCAAGAGGCAGATTAAGGCAAAAACGTCAGTCATTTCTGGGAATTTAATGCCTACTATTTTGGAATTATAGTGTAGATATTAATACATCCTCGTATACTACAAGCATTGGCTGCCGTTACACACCTGTTCAAGATCAAGCGAAGTAAATACGTTTTAGGTGGTCAGAAGTAATAAAGAGGAATATTTTGTATTTATTAATTACATCTAAGATAATTAAGCTATGTAACGACTTTCGCATTATTCAAATCATTGAATTAATGCAGTTTTGAGGGAAAAATGTGTTTAAATACTTTGATTTGACCAACTTCTACAAAGTAAAAAGATTTGATCCACTTTGGTATATTCCCAAAAAGGGCAAGAAATATCTTCCAAATAACTATAGACCAGTTGCTTTTCTATCAGTGATGTAAAAAAACGAGGAGAAAGTCCTAAGCCACCATATCCTCAAATATTAGGAAGGCTTCAACATCGTGAGCGATCATCAATAGGTATGGCTTTCGGAAACGGAAACAAAGAGGCGACCTTGTATCGTATGTCACCCATATTTGGAATAAAGCAATCGAGAAACATGGAGAATCAAGAGCTGTTGCGCTTGATATTTCTAAGGCCTTTGACCGTGTGTGACATGACTGTTTGCTGGCCAAACTTCGATGCTATGGCTTGTCGGATCATTTCTGTGTATGGCTCTCCAGCTTCCTGAAAGAACGTTCTCTACAAGTGGCCTTCGATGGATATCTCTCGAATACTTTCACCATCAACGCTGGTGTTCCCCAGGGATCCATATTGTCTCCAACCCTCTTTTTATTGTATATCAACACGTTATTAGAAAAAAACAAGAATCCAATATATTGCTTTGTTGACGACAGCACACTTGTCTCGTCATTCCATTTGATTTACAGGATATCGGCTAAGGAGGCACATCTTCACAGGTAGCAGGAGGTTGCATATTTTAATGAGGATCTAATAATGATTTCGAATTGGGGTGAAAGTAACCAGGTTCAATTCAATGCCACAAAAATCCAGGCACGGGTTTTCTCCAAGAAGATAAATGTCTCCGAACCGAATATAATAATGTCAGGTCACACAATTTCGCTTTCTGCTTCGATAAGTTTGTTGGGGGTTATAATGAACACCAGAATCACATGTCGCTGGAATTGCAAATGCTGCTTCTCAAAAGTTTGGAACACTGTTTCGAACCAGAAAACTATACACACATCAGTAACTTTTAATGCTTTATATAAAGCTCAGATCACACCTTCTTTGGAGTATTGTTCTCATGTATGGAGCTCTGCCCCCAAAAATACCCTGAGCTTGCTGGATTCCATTCAGAAAAAACCATCTGCCTGATTGGAGAGGCGAACATCACGTGCAACCTTGATAGCCTGGACCATCGAAGAAAAGTTGGAGATTTGTCTCTCTTCTAGTGATACTTTCACATGAAGTACTCAAGTAACTTGGCACATTTGATTCCACCAAGAGCGGTGCATATCAGAAATAAACGACGGATTGTGGCTGCTCATCGTTTTGACGTTCAACCCAGTACACCTCGAACTTCACTGTGTAAGAAGCCTTTCATCTAGAGAACTGCGTTCATGTGGAATAAACTTCCTGAGAACGTTTTTCCAAATAGATTTAATATCCCAGCGATTCAAAAACCAATGTGAATCGCTACTT